GCTTGTCGCAGCTCCGGGTCTCCGAGGTTGGATCTTTTTTCTGGTGTGATGCGATTTGACAGATGAAGAGTCAACGTTCGTTCGTTCGTTCGTTCGTTCGTTCGTTCGTTCGGTTGTGGGCCGAGGCTCCGCCCACCACTGTCCATGTTCAGGGTCTGAAAGCATTCTCTACAGAGCGGGCCCCCTTCTCGCAGTCTGCCCGGGGTTCCAATGGCCAAAGCGATCTCAAGACCAAATTGGAACTCAGGAGGTGCAGAGGTTACTACCCTCATCTTCACAAGAGAGAGAAAAATATAGGGAAGAATGGTCCTATTTAGTGTACTTTGTTTGGCTGAGATCTGAAGTCCCGGAGATGGGATTGGAGTCCCCGGAGCTATTTACATATTACATTCCCGCTCCTCTCTGGCCAACACGGGCTAGGAATCTTCCTCGACTCCTTTAGATGACCCACCTATGTGGTTCATTTTGTTGAAGAATACAACATAAAAGGAGGCTCTTACAGGCAGAGGTTAGCCCGTGCCGGATTCATCTCAGTCCCTGAGTCCCTCAGGTTTGAACACTGGGTCACCAGGAACCTCAGCTCACACCCTGAGTGAGCTCAAAACTCTTAATGAAAACTAAGGAGATAAACTTCTACTGTGTTGAGCTGCTGAGATCCGAGGGGGTTGTTGGTTGTCTCAGTATGATAATCGAGCTCACCTTGGCTGTGACATTTACTCTTAGGGGTGAGCCTTATTGTCTGACATGGGCAATTACAGGAGACCAAATAAATAAAGTCATCCTTCCCCGGAGTGCTCTCCAGTGCTTCTCCAGTCGGTAGAAGATACTGATGAGAACCAGGAGATTTGTATAATGTCAAAGCAGCTCCTCATTACATGCTTACTAATCATGAAGGAAAACAATAGATTTTGACAGTGGCAAACCTGGCTGATGGCGACTTACCAAAGATCAGCCAGTAAGAGAATAAATATCACCATGGATTGGATGCACTGGAAAAGATACATCATTTCTTTGACATCCTGGTAACAAAAGAAACCCTGTGTCTAATCCTTAGACAATCAGAGAATTAAATCGAAGGAAATTATTAAAAATATAAAGCTGGTGTGGTGGTTCAGGCCTGTACTATAATACTCATAAGGCAGGGGCATGAGACTCTGGGCCTCGGCTACATTAAGGTCACTCTGTCCCTGTGAAGACTAGTCCAAACAGAGTTAGAAGTATTGCCTAGCTCGATTGCTCAGCAGATAAAGGAGCTTACTACCAAGCTTGATGGGTAATTCCTGAGCTTAACCTGGAATCCAACGGTAGAAAGAGAAAACTAACTCCCAAAGTTGTTTTTGACATCTCGTTGGCTTAGTACGCATGCATGTGTGTGTGCACGCGCGCACGTGCATACACACACATACACACACATACACACACACACACACACACACACACACACACACACACACACACGAGACAGACAGAAGTAGACTCAATAAAAATTTAAGACGTAAGGCTGGGCATAGTGGCACACCTTTGATCCTAGCATGTGGGTGGCAGAGGCAGAAGGATCTCTGAGTACAAAGCCATCTTTATCTACATAGTTCCAGGACAGCTAGGGCTACATAGAAACACCCTGTCTCAGAAACCACAAACGAAGCAAAAATATATATTGTATGAATTTTTTTCAATAAATATATACTTTAGGGAAGAGGATGTAGAAGTTGGCCTTCAGGAAAGCTGATGGGTTTTGCATCTATTTCTTGTGTTTTCCAGTTAATTGCAAAACTGCCCCAAGGTTGGCTGAATGTATGAGTAACACACCCACAGAGGACACATGTGTGGTTTTCATTCTCCCCGTGTGTTGTGTGCGTTTTAGTGGGGTCATTTGAGCAATTACAGCAGATCACAGAAGGACATGCTGGGGTGAGGAGAGACGAGATGGAAGGAGGCGGCAGGGACTGTGAGGAAGGAAACGTGGGCTGGTCTAGGAAAGGCCGGGATGAGCCTGTTTAGGAGGAAAACGCCTTCCCGAGAACAATATAAAATCGTGACCTCCCAGCACTTGGGAGGCAGAGGCAGGCAGATCTCTGAGTTCGAGGTCAGCCTGGTCTACAGAGTGAGATCCAGGACAGGCACCAAAACTACACAGAGAAACCCTGTCTCAAAAAACCAATAAATAAACAAAAGGGGTTGGGGATTTAGCTCAGTGGTAGAGCATTTGCCTAGCAAGCGCAAGGCCCTGGGTTCAGTCCTCAGCTCCGGGGGAAAAAAAATCAACTAAACAGATGTATAAATTTTTAGTGTTTTTATTTATTCATTGACAATTTTGTATTTATAGTGTATCTTGATTTATCTGCTTTCCCCAACATCTCTTTTCTCTCCCTCCCAACTCACCACTTCTTTCATGTCCACCCTTCTCTCTCCCTCTCCTCCTCTCACGCCGTCTCTCCCCACTAAGTATAGTTGGTGCTAACTGCTGGGAACTACCTCAGCTGTGGGTTCGTGAGTGCAATTGCTGTGTCCAAAAGGCAGTATTTCACAGCGATCCTCCATTGTTTGTTGTTTTTGGTTTTGGGAGGTCCACCACCCAGCTCCCAAATAAATCACACATGGAGGCTTATTCTTAATTATAAATGCCCAGCCTTAGCTTGGCTTGTTTCTTGCCAGCTTTTCTTAACTTTAAATTATTCCAGCTACCTTTTTCCTCTGGGCTTTTTCCTTTTCTTACTTCTGGATATCTTACTTTCATGCTTACTCTGTGGCTGGCTGTGTGACTGGGTGGCTGGCCCCTGGCATCCTCCTCTCCTTGTTCTATCCTCCCAGACTTCTATTTATTCTCTCTGCCTGCCGGCCCCGCCTACCCTTTCTCCTGCCTTACTATTAGCTGTTCATCTCTTCATTAGACCATCAGGTGTTTTACAGGCACAGTAACACAGCTTTGCAGAGTTAAACAAATGCAACATAAAAGAATGCAACACATCTTTGCATCATTAAACAAATGTTCCACAGCATAAACAAATGTAACACATGTTAAATTAATATTCTACCACACTCCTCCTCATCTCCGAATTCTCTGGCTTTTGCATTCTTTTCTTCCCTCTTCTGTGATATTTCCTGAGCCTTGGCAGGGTGTGACTGTGTGTGTGTGTGTGTGTGTGTGTGTGTGCATGTGTGGTGTGACATAGATGTCCCATTTAGGACTGAGGGCTTGCTGTTACTTATTTTCAGCACTTTGACCATTTATGAGTCCCTGCATGATGCTGCCTACCAGAGAGAGAAACTTCTCTGGCCAAGACAGAGAGCAGTCCAGATTTATAGAGTGACTTGCTGGGATAGCTGTGTTGAGTTGAAAGATGATGTTTTCAGATCTCTCTGGCTTCAGAAGGCTCCATGTACTGCTGTGTATGGGAGGCCTGAGTGGGAGCTGTTGGCCTGTCACCTCAGGGTTCTTGGGGTTCTGGAGTGTGCAGAGGGGAGGTTGTGAGTCCTTTCCTGGCAGTTCTCTGTCCTCCACTATGGCTTCCTCTAGTCTTAGGGTGTGTGAGGCCCTGACTGAAATTCCCTGTCTTGTATGTCTTGAAGTCTGTGTAAGATTTGATGGCTTTCAAAAGCATTAAAACACCCTTGTCACCCTCCATCCCATCTCTTTAACTTGAGAAATAAGAATCTTCCTCATGCCTAGTAACTGAATTGAAAATGCAGACTGTATGGTGTTCTGAGCACATGACTGATTTTTAAACAGCAAAATTAAAGGGCAAAATTGAGTTCCCATGAGGACAAACTGGTTAGCAATGTTGTTTTGTGTTTCTCTTCTGACTTGGCCAAGGAGGAATTCTTGAAGGACAACAATAAAATGCTCACTGCCTGATATTAGAAAGTATCAATTCCAAATACATAGCTTTCATGATTTCTCAGGTGTGTATCTGCACCTGTTTAAAAAAAAACTATCAAAATGTTGAGAGTCTCGTTTAGGTAGTTGTCAATGAGGACTGTGCTAGTTAGCTCTTATAATGCTGTGATAAAACACTGATCCAAAGAAACCCGGAGAGGAAAGGGTTTATTTCATCTTACACAGTATGTTTCATCATCAAGAAAATCCAGGGCAGGAGCTCAAAGCAGGAACCTGGAGGCAGGGACTGAAGCAGAGACCACAGAGGAATGCTGCTTGCTAGTTCGACCCCTCTGGCTGGTGTTAGGGTCCTGGCGAAGTCCCACAAGACCACATTCCACATATGCAATCAGCAAGAGCCTTTATTATTCAGCATGCTGGGGCCTGCCATCCCACACAAAGGCAAGATGGTAAAGACCTGGAGAGAGAGATGTGTGGGCTCCTTTTAAACACAGTGGTCAAGGGCAACATGTTTGTATTCATTCCCAAAGTGTAAGAAGCGTGAACACACAGGAAGCCTGCCACTGTTCTCCAGAAGCTCTGTGGGCTCCTTAGATGTGAACACAATTACAGCATTAGACCGAGGAGTATTTACGCCTAATGAGAGGCAGACTCTAATAAAAGTTGAAGGTAGCTTTGTGGCAAGTCATCCAGCGGCTCTGCTCCAGGGCCCTCACTGAAAAACGAGGACACCACAGGGTTAAAGTGACGGTCCATATGGCTACATTTCGCAAAGATATCTATGGTGATGGTATCAAAACACTTCTGAAGTCTAGTGTAAAGATAAGTCTCTGGGGCTGTCGAGAGGGCTCACCAGGCAAAGGCACTTGTCAAACAAGTCTGACAACCCGAGTTTGATCCCCGGAACCTGCTTAAAGTTGGAAGGAGAGAACTGAATATACAAAGTTGTCGGAACCTGCTTAAAATTGGAAGGAGAGAACCGAACCGACTACACAAAATCGTCCTCTGACCTCCACTGTTTTGGGATGAGAGTGCACACACTCCATAATAATTTTATTTATTTATTTATTTATTTTTTTAAGAAAAAAGATAAATCTCTCATCAACTCGATCTAACCATTAAAACCAGCTCTGGCGCGTTTTATTAGCTCGGTCAACTCAGGAAGGTTTATTAAACCCTCACTGCGTGTCATGGAATTCGGTTGCTCTTAATCCAGGTCTTCCAATGGAGGGAAAGGAATTCCCAGCGTCCTTAAAACCCCCCGTGCACGCCAGATGCGCAGAGTTTTAGGAAGGTTTTTTTTTCCTGCAGCCTCCGGGACGCTCGGGGGTCAGGTGGGAAGGCGGGAGGACCTGGGCGCGGCGGCGCCCGTGGCCGGCCGTGAAGCCGGAACCCCGGCCTCCGCCCATTGGTTGGCGTTTGGACCCTTGCCGGGCACTCTGCAGCCCGCGTGGCCGCGCCCTCCCGGAACTGGCGGGGCGTCGCGGCGGTGCGAGCCATGGAGGTCCTTCCCGCGAGCGGGACGCGGGACCCGCTGCGAGCCGAGGAGGAGGAGGAGGCGGCGGCGGCAGCGGGGCACCCGGCGGGCGAGGGCGACGAGGAGCCGCAGCCCCCCGGCCGCACGAGCCGCACGGCGTCCCTGGTGAGCGGGCTGCTCACCGAGCTCTACAGCTGCACCGAGGAGGAGGAGGTGGCGGCAGCCGGCGGGGACCGTGCGTCCCGGGGCCGCCCCCCGCGCCGCGACAGCCTGGATAGCTCCACCGAGACCTCGGGTTCCGACGTCTTCCTGGGCGGCCGCGGCGTGGGCGACTCCCGGGTGCTGCAGGAGCTGCGGCAGCGGCCGAGCCTGCGGCTGCAGATGCAGTACCTGCGGCGGAAAGGTGAGCTCCTGCCCAGCCGTGCCAGTTGCCCGCCTGCGCGGGTCCCCCGCCCCTCCTGCCCTCCTGCGCCGCCTGTCCACTTGGGCCGTTTGTGCCACCTGCCCACCGGCACCGGTTGCCCACCTGTCTGCCCATCTGCGCCACCTGGACGTCGCCGCCCTGCCGCACACCCGGAGAGTGTGGACTCTCCCTTCCTCTGACTCCCGGGACCTACGGTCACACTCTCACTAGGTCTATTTCCTAATGCTCAGTCCCTCCCCCTCTGCAGGTGTGGCTCAGAGAGCATGGTCTCCCCACCTCCCCCACGCCCCTCAGGTGTCCAAGGTAGGGGCCACCTAGACTCTAACTTCACCCCAACAGCTGTTAGGACTAGCTTGGAGTTTCTTCCGTGTGTACCAGAAGTTATCTAGAGGACGCCGCGGGAAGAGAGACTTCTAGGGCTTTCCACCCCCATCCCCCACCCCGCCCCCTTCCCTAGCCAGGCCGCTTGGATAGGGTTTAACTAGGGAGGCAGAATAATTCGATAATGCAGCTTCGCAGCCGAGCGTGAGTTCCCAGCAGCTTTGGTTTAATCTGGGTCTCTGAAAAAGGATTTGAGTTGGGAGCCTGAGTGAGCGCTTAGCCTTCATGGTGCGTTTAACTGCTGCAACCTTCCACCGACCTGGAGAGTCGAGCTGAGAAACGGCCTTGGTTTCCTCGGAGGAGAGGCTAATTTGATATTTCTTTTGTTATCAGACTCTGAGGCTCACATTCTGGTCGAGACGATTATTATTATTACTTCTCAAGGATGATCGCTTATGTTTCAGGCATCAGGATTAGTTACAGCTGTCTTTTTTTGCATAGATCTAGGGAAACCTCAATTTACAAAATGTAGTAAGGGGTGGGGAACAGAAGGCAATCCACCATCACATTTCTTGCAAGTACTGTCCTTGTGCTAAATGACCATGGGAGAGATAAAGAGAATTATACAGTGCTCCTGGACTTGCTGTATCCAGTCTAGCTGGTTCTAGGAAGGAAAAAAAAAAACCCAGAAAAGCAATAAATCTGTCTGCTTTCTTCTACCTATGTAAACAGTTCCCAGATTCCTTTCCCGACTTCCTAGTGACGTCCCCCCACCTCCCCCCAGCTGACTGCAGTACTTTGGCTGGAGTTGGGCTATTTTTTATATATATATATATAATTATCCAACTGTGCTAAGAACGTGTGTTTATGCCCAAACTCTTGCTATAGGGCAATAGTTCAAACACCAGCAGAATCAGTTTTGGAAACTATGAATTGATTTCCTCGTTTGAGAGGGCTGGCTCTTTTCACGGTTCACCACCAGGAAGCTTTGGGAACTGCTAACTTCATTTTCGTAGAGGGAAACTGGCAAGCCAAAGTTTACAGTTTGCGAGTGGACGTCCCTTGTGTGACGTGGCCAACCGCTCTACCAATCACTCCCAGGACCTGCGGGAGTCCATTTCTCCGGTTTCATCTCCTTTCTCACCCAGTTGCTCATGAATCCTTTCTTTCCCTGTAGGTGACTGTGTTGGGTGACCAAGGTGCCACATAGGGACTTATTGTCTCTGTTGCTAAATATCACTAGAACACTGTGATTAGACAGTCAGGTGATCGATGCCATTGTTTGTGGAAATAGTGCTCGTTGGGTTGATTGTTTTTAGTCTTTTGTTTTGTTTTTTTTTGAGACAGGGTTTCTCTGTGTAGTTTTGATGCCTGTCCTGGATCTCGCTCTGTAGACCAGGGTGACCTCGAACTCACAGAGATCCGCCTGGCTCTACCTCCCACGTGCTGGGATTAAAGGCATGCGCCACCGCCGCCCAGCCAAAGCTAGCCATTCTAACGTTAGTAAGTGCCGTGTTCACTTGAGTTCCACATAACGCCGCAGATAACCCAGGACCTTAGTTTCTCTCTTTCACTGTTGAACACTTGGTTGTTGGATCAACATAGCACCCATCCAGATTGTGTGTGTGTGTGTGTGTGTGTGTGTGTGTCTGTCTGTCTGTCTGTCTGTGGTTTCAGGGGCAGTACCAAAATGGCTTCGAAAGGAAACTGGACTGTGTGTGTGTGTGTGTGTGTGTGTGTGTGTGGTGCAGGGTTTGAACTTTGGAGTCAGATTCCCTAGTTGACAGGCTGCCGCCATTTCTAGCTAGCTTTACGACGGCCTTTGGGCAAGCTATTTACCTAAGTTAATGTGTGTTAAGTGCTCAGGGAATGTTAGAGAGATAATTTTCATTATTATAAACCCATTTATCATATAAGGATAAAATTCCTTAGAGAGGAAATCGGCCAGTTTTCCAGCTGACCAGTTTCCTCTGTTACTTGGTGGGAAACAGGGAGTTGACGCACATTTCTACACGGGGATCCGAACATGTTTCCATAAGCAGTACATAATACAGAGAAATACAAGTTGTAACATCAAAAATGAAGTGGGGTTTTCACATTATCTCATACTATTGTGAGCATTAGTTTTAAGAATGCAGAAGTATTGTTATCATTAACTACTATTACGGTTCTTAGTTCTTTGAATATCTTAAAAGTTATTTTATGTGTTTGGGTGTTGTGGCTCACGGGACTGGAATGTCTTAACTGAATACATCCACGTCATCCCGGATGAAAGACCGGAGTGAGTGGGTTTCAATGCACTTTCTAGATACGTACCTTCTGACTGGTAGCACCCGGGGGCTTGGGGTAGAGCCCTCTCAGGGGACTGATTCTTTTTCCTTCTTGATAGACTCCAGTGAGCTGAAGACCATCCTTCGAGAGCTGAAGTACAGGATCGGCATCCAGTCAGCGAAGTTACTCCGGCAGCTGAAGCAGAAAGACCGACTTCTGCATAAGGTTCAGAAGAACTGCGACCTTGTGACAGCCTGCCTGCAGGCTGTGTCGCAGAAGAGAAGTAAGTCCTGGGGTACAGGGTGTCAGTCCGTGCTTCGCCGCTTGAGCTGGTTAGTGAAGCAAGCGGCAGCAGACGCTGCTTGCAGTATTTTAAGAAGTTCAGGAACCAGAGCCGGCGGCGGTGGTGGCGCACGCCTTTAATCCCAGCAGAGCCAGGCGGATCTCTGTGAGTTCGAGGTCAGCCTGGACTACCAAGTGAGTTCCAGGAAAGGCGCAAAGCTACACAGAGAAACCCTGTCTCGAAAAACCAAAAAAAAAAAAAAAAAAAAAAAAAAAAAAAAAAAAAGAAGTTCAGGAACCAACCAAATAATACAGCTCCCTGTTTTTTTTTTTTTTTTTTAATTTAAAATGAATGCTTCATGCCTAATGTTAAATCCTGGTTTTATTATTCACGGTTTGAGGTCACCCTTCACTCTGACAACGGTTGCTGTTTATGCGAGCCCGTGTGACTTAGCAAGCATCGAATGGATGTGACTTAAAAGCCACGTCCTTGTTCCCCATAATCTCTGTGCTCTAATGAGGATAGTCAGCGATTGGCCTGACCCATCGGAGCCGCGCCCCGCCTGCTCTGAAATCCAAGAAGGGCAAAGCATTTGGACAAATGAAACCTGCGTCTTGCGCTACCCACTTTTAACTAAGAGCTGCCTAGCTTGTCAGCTGAAGTAGAGAATTGTTCAGGGACCGGCCCATCGTCATTGTTAGGGGTTGAAACTTTTGAATGAATCTTGTAATTCTCCATACAGTGGCATTCTGTCTGGTTCTGCTAACATGTCCCTGTTCTTGTTTTGCCTTCTTTGTTTACACGCAGCGTGGCAGAGAGGGGCTCAGGTATGGCAAACACAGGCGCGAGTGTTGTTCCCATAAAATGCCTGGGACAGTTTCTTGGGTGCATGTCAGAGCTGCTTTTTCCTTTTCCTTTTCTTTGGTCATATTTTATATGTAAACAGATCAAAGTTGTTTTGTTTGTTTGTTTGTTTGTTTTGTTTTAATTCCAAAATTAAGATGTGTCTGTTTTCATGAAACAAATTGCAGGGCTTAATTAGTTTTTCAATAATGGCATTAGCAGTTTAAAAATCCCATCTGACGCTGGGCAGTGGTGGCGCACACCTTTAATCCCAGCACTCGGGAGGCAGAGCCAGGCGGATCTCTGAGTTCGAGGCCAGGCTGGTCTACAGACTGAGATCCAGGACAGGCACCAAAACTACACAGAGAAACCTTGTCTTGAAAAACAAACAAACAAACAAAATCCCATCTGATGGTGTGTTTTCTGCCTCTCTTCAATATATTGCTATTTGCTATCCTCAACTTATTCATGGTTTTGATGGAGAGTTTTCATCTGATGGATATAAAGCAGAATGCTGTTCCACAGTGGTATCGTAATGGTCCACACCAAGAGTAATTTGGTTGAGTGGATGGACTTTCTTCTAGTCCTGAAGTTATCTGAAGAGCTAGAGAAGGGTGACAGGAGGGGGTATGTGCATGGATCTGCATGCGTGTGTATCCACATAGAGTTGGCATGCATTATACATAATAACTTTTCATGGATCCTGACCGATTCCAGTGTGTTCAGTAAAAATGATTTCCCCCATCTAATATGAAAGACTGGTTTTGATTTTTTTCTTTCAGCTTTGTGTCTATCTACTTAATTCTTAGCTTTTTTTTTTTTTTTTTTTTTTTTACAAGAAATGAAAAGCACTAGCTGGTAGAAGCGTGGAGCTCTGATGTGTAGAGAGGACATGAGGGACGAGGTTGGTGGGGCAGATGAGAGGAGGCGGAGCTTGGTGGACTGTTTGTGTTTACTGGAGACTGACTAATGGTGGACTTCAGATGTATCTGATTGATAGAAGGACTGACATTTGTGCCTGTTAGACAAATGTGCCCACTAGCACCCAACTCAACTCCTGAGTCTGTGGCTGCATCCTTCCCTACGTAGTTTAAATATATGTCTCTTCAATTCTAGCCAGTTTTTTTTTCTTTCTTTTTTATTCGAGAGACTGTGGGGCTGTCTGGAGCCTTTCCCAACTAGCTCGGTTCCTTCCTGGGTAGTACAAACGCTTTAGAGCTGCAGACTTCACACTCATTGCCTGCTTCCGGCACCTCACACTTCTTCTGCAAAGTCTACTCACAGCAAACGCACTTAGAGCTCTTCAGAACTGAGATCCCCCTCGGCCAGTGCAGAACAACCGCTCTCTCTTTAGTAGTAGCTGGCAATGGCGCATTCAAATACAACGTGTTGACTTGTTTCATTAAATGCGAAAGTTGGGACTGGGGAGATGGCTTGGTGGGTAAGAGAGCTTGTATGAGGAGCTGGTGAGTTGGGACCCCCCCCCCCCCAGAACCCAGGTGAAAATAACTGCTTATATTTCATAGTTTCTTATCAAAGTCTTATGGCAGTGACTCCTATTGCTGTGAAGAGATACCATGACCAAAGCATCTTATAAAAGAAAGCATTTAATTGGGGGCTTGCTTACAGTTTCAGGGGATTGGCCTGTGACCATCACGGTGGGGCCCATTGGCAGCAGGCAGGCATGGCCATGAAGCAGTAGCTGAGAGCTTACTTCTGGTCCACAAGCAGGGGAGAGAGAGGGAGGGAGGGGGGGGGGAGAGAGAGAGAGAGAGAAAGAGAGAGAGAGGGAGAGGGAGAGGGAGAGGGAGAGACTGACAGAGAGACAGAGACACAGACACATAGACAGAGACACAGAGAGACAGACAGGGCCTGGCATGGGCTTTTGAAATCTCACCGCGCGCTCCTAGAGACACACCTCCTCCAACAAGGCCACACCTCCTAATCCTTCTTAACCCGTTCACCAGCTGGGGACCAAACTTTCAAATATAGGAGACCATGAGGGCCGTTCTCATTCAAACCACCACAGACAAGTGTCTTTTCTTTTGAAAACTGAGGTGGGAATAAGAAAAGCGTTTTGGTCTGCCGGGTTTGTGGTAGTTTGTCTGTATTCTCAGCTCTCAGGAGGCCGAAGCAGGAGGATCAAGCTTGTGAGATCAGCCTGGGCTGCACTGCCAGACTCTAGCTCAAAACAAAAACAAAAATAAAGGCAAACAAACAAAACAAAACAAAACAAAACAACAACAACCAAACAAGCAGGAAAGAGGGCCAGGACCAATATTTGTCTTCTAGAAGAGTGCGTTTTCCTTCTATATCACCTAAGAATATCTATTTTTAATAACCATTTTAATACTAATTAAAAATGTCAGCACAGCTGTGATCATTTATTGAGCGCATGCCTTATGCCCAACTATTGCCTTTCTCTCTTCTGGCAACTCCTTTGGGCACATCATGTTAGAACACTGAGATTCAGCAAGTTTTAACCATGTGCCAAAAGTCGGTTACTGATTGAGAAGGAACTGGAAGATGACAGCCTCAAGAGTCCACTGACGATACCACGTTTTCCACTGATGATCACGAGCGCTCTGATTTCCCCCTTCTGGCTCTGCAATAATGTTGCAGCATCTCCGAGTTTTGTAATGCGCAGGAAACGAAATAATCCCTGGTTTGTGGCCCGCCCTGCTTTAGTATAGTCTGCACAGGAAGGAAACACTTATCTCGGCTGAACGATTGGGTCAGACAGACGTAGCTTGGTGTGTGGGGAAACCCACTTAACGGCTCTAATACAATGAGAGGAATGTTGGGTCAGGAGGATCAGGCATTTGAGACCAGACTGTGTTACATGTAGTGAGACACATCTCCAAAGAAAACCCAACACGAAACCTCCTCCAAACTCCAAACAAGCAAACCAAACAAGCAGAAACAGTGGTGCAGGATCAGTGTTTGTCTGAGAGCAGAAGATATTTCCCTCGTATTTATCTAAGGACGGGCTGTTGAGATATTTGCCCGCTTTGCTTAATCCCCTCTCTTCCTGAAAGCAGAAGCCATTTCTTGGCATCACATGACTTTGTAATCTTTGTAAACGCTAGGTTGGTTGAGCTGGTGAAAGGCTATTCCAAATCAAGTCATTAAACATGGCTGTAACTTCAAAGGTGTGATCAGAGAAAACATGAGCAAAATATGAATGGATGTGGCCGTATCAAAGCCTTACCAGTACACACAGGCTTCTCAGACAGCTGGCAGGCAGCCTTGTCTTAGGAACAAGTCTACTCTAGCAATCCCGAGTCTTACTGTTTCTTAGAAATGTCTGCAAGGTACAGGTGCCTGGTCCAATAGGTGAGTGTCCTTTGTGTGCGTGTGTGCGTGTGTGTGCGCGTGCAGGTGTGCATGTGTGCAGGTGTGCATGTGTATATATTCTGTGCACACGTATATGTATCTATATGTGAAGGTCAGAGGCTAGTCTTTGGGAGTTGGTTCTCTCCCTCTACTGTATGGGACCAGGGGATGTAACTCAGGTGAATAGGTTAGGAGGCAGGAGCCTTTATCCTCGGAGCCAATTTCACTGGCTCTAGACACTGTTTTTCAGCCTATCATTTTGTTTCGTCACAGCGTTGTAATAGTGGACAGTTTTCTTTCGGTCATGGCTTACAGAAGCATAACTAAAAAGGATTTAAATGCCTAAGCAGATTGGCAGATGTAGTTAAAAGTCCGAGGATATGCAACAGATACAGCTAACTCAGTCCAGGTACCTGGACGGAATCTTTGCAAATGACGGTCCCTGTTTGCCAATTTGTCCCCCAGCCAGCAGCCCTGTGTGAATGAACAGATCTATTCTTCCAGAGCTCCGGACAGTCCGCAGTTCACTGTCCTTGGTCCCTTGGGTCCCCTGCTCACTAGGAATCAAGAAATAGACTCTTTGTATGTGAGGATGTGAGAAATGGTGTAGGAGGAGAATGAAGGATCAGGTGGATCTGCAGCGACCATGGTACAGACAGTCTGTTAATTTTGTTGGCGTAGTGGCTGTGTGTGTTTAATTCTGTTGATTACTGGCATAATTCAGCACCTTTGAATGATATTATTGGCTGTCCTGCCACCACTTTGTGCGAGGTGCCCATTTCCCTTCATGAACAGTCTGACATTTTCTTACAGATTTGATGGAGTTCATTGTCACATTCACGACTTACAGATGTCTCCCTATCTATCTATCTATCTATCTATCTATCTATCTATCTATCTACTTATCAGCTTTCACAGTCATGTGACCTGTGCATTCAGAGAGTCCCATGCTCACTAGGGCCTTTCATGTGGTTTAATGCTCTATGGCTGATATCTTAAACGTCTCAATTTTTTTTTTTTTTTTTTTTTTTGCAGGGTGGGGGTGGCGGTGGCAGGGATGAAGTCTAATGTAAGCCAAGGTGGCTTTGAACTCAATCTCATTATGTAGCTGAAAAAGACCTGGAACTTCTTTTTTTTTTTGGTTTTTCGAGACAGGGTTTCTCTGTGTAGCTTTGCGCCTTTCCTGGATCTCGCGCTGTAGACCAGGCTGGCCTCGAACTCACAGAGATCCGCCTGCCTCTGCCTCCCGAGTGCTGGGATTAAAGGCGTGCGCCACCACCGCCCGGCCGGAACTTCTTTTAACTTATTAGCTTTTTGAATACTGTAATAATCTGCACAATATATTTTGACCATACTCACCCCCAGTACCCTCTCCTGTCCCTTCCTTCAGCCCTGAACCCTTCTTATCACAACTAATCATCCTTTTAACCTCATGGTGAAAGATGAATGTTTTGCGTGATGCACTGAACTGAATTAGGGTTGCTTGTGTGAGCATGGGTGTGGGGTTGTTTACTGCAGCATGGGCAGCTTGGCCACAGCACCAAAGAAAATGGTTCCTCCTCCCCCCCCATCATATGCTAATAGCTCCTTAGTGAGGGGTGGGGCCATGTGCTCTTTCTTCCTCCCCCCAACCATGACAAGATGTTGAAGGACCCAACCTTGTGTAGGTAACGACAGCTGCTGAGATCATGAGAGCCATGGCTGCATCATGTCTCGAAGATGGCTTTTAC